GGAGTGTGGTCATTTTGATCATGGCTATTTTGTCTGAGAGAGTGAAATTCATGTTATTCCATCTCTTTAGGTCTTTGTTAATTTGTCGCCACAGGGGCTTGTAGTTGTGGAGGTATAATTTATTGAGGTTTCTGGTTATTTGTACCCCTAGGTATCTGAACTTGGTGTGGCAAAGTTTTATTTTGGTGACCTTCGTGAGTTCTTTTTGGGTGTGAGGAGGGGTGTTGAAGCACATAGCTTCTGACTTTGTGAAATTTACCTGTAGGCCCGACACCATTGCAAATGCGTTGAGTTCTCTGGTTAGGGAGGTTGCTGTGCTTATGGGGTCTGGTGTTGTGACCATTAGGTCATCTGCAAAGAGCCCTAATTTATAGGTTCTGCCTTTTATTTCCACTCCCTTGATGTCTGTGGCTGCTCGGATGCGGATTGCTAGGGGTTCCAGAGCCAGGATAAATAAGAAGGGAGACAGTGGGCATCCTTGTTTCGTGCCTCTTTGGATAGCTATAGTGTTAGAATCCATATTGTTAGTTCTGCATTTTGCTGAGGCTTGGGAGTATATTTGTTTGAGGATTTGTAGGAAGTTGGGGCCAAATTTCATGTTAGTTAGTACTGCTAATATGTATTTCCACTCCAAGCAATCAAAGGCTTTGAGTATGTCTAGGGACATAATTGTCAATGGGAGTTTGGTTGCCTTGCTGTGTTCGATCAGGTTCAGTAGTTTCCTGATGGGGTCTGTTATATTGCGGCCAGGGACAAAGCCAGTCTGGTCTGGGGCTATTAACTTGTGTAGGAAGATTTTTAGGCGGTTGGCCAAGATTGATGTGAATATCTTGTAGTCTTGAGGCTGTCTTTTAGTGGTTTTGGGATGGAGACTATTTTGGAGTGGGTCCAGGTTTTGGGGATGGGGCCCCCTTTTATGATGTCGTTGAATAGGCGGGTCATGTAGGGCATCAAGGGTTCTTTGAATTTCTTATAGAATTCTGCTGTGAAGCCGTCTGGGCCTGGGGCTTTGTGTGGTTTCAAGTTTTTGAGGACCGCATCTATTTCCTCTGGGGTGATAGGGCTATCCATGAATTCCTGTTCCTCATCAGTTAGGGTAGGCATGGTCAGTCCTGCTAGAAATTTTTTGATTTCCCTCTCTGGTGGGTTATGGGAGGTGTATAGGTATATAGGTGTATAGGAGTAAAATTCTGCAAATTCTGAAATTATTTCTTTGGGGGAGAATGTTATGTTGGGGAGAATGTTATTCTTGTTTTGAGTGCTTTTTTCCTACATCTATTTGCTAGTAATCTGGAGTTTTTCCCTCCATATTCATAGAAACGTTGTTTAGAGTATAGAATGTTGATCATTGTTTTGTTGATTTCTAAGGAGTCTAGTTCTTTCCTTTTCTGTTCTATAAGTTTGAGGAGTTTTTTAGATCCTGTTTGTTTGTAGCGTGATAAGAGGACTGTGATGTCTTGTTCTATTTTGCTAATTTTTGAGGAGGTTTGTTTTTTAAGGAATGTTTTCTCTTTTATGCAAGCTCCTCTGGTGACCGCTTTCATTGCGTCCCATAGGAGGGGGTTGTTGTATTGTTTACATCGTTTTCTTTGAAGTAGTTTTGGAGGGTTTTTGTGAGACTCTCTCTAATTTGTTTGTTTGTAGTTAGGAAGGGACTGAAGGACCATGATGGGGTGGTTTGTGTTCCTTCTCCTATTTTAACAGTGACTTCTACTGGGGCGTGATCTGTGATTTTAATGTTACCTATGTTTGTTGATTCTACTGAGGGAATCAGACCCTGTGTGAGTAGAATGCTGTCCAGTCTGGACACTGTATCATGGCGTCCCGATTGGAATGTATGGCTGATGTCTCCCGGGTTTTGCTCACCCCAAATGTCATAGAGACCCCTGTTTTTTAGCATTTTTAGTAACTTGTAAGAGTTCCTGGTTGTTGGGGGTTTCCTTCGGAGGAAGGTTGCCCATGGGGTTGTGTGGTGGATATCTTTCAGGGATATACCTTTCATGTTTAGATTGAGGTCCCCTCCTAGGATTGCTTCCCCTTCAGAGAAGGAGAGGAATTTGTTTAGTGTTTTCTGGAAGAATTCTAGTTGTTTCGTGTTTGGGGCATATATGGAGCCGATTGTCAGTTTGATTTTGCCATCTAGTGTCCCTTTAGCGAAAATGAATCTGCCTTTTTTGTCCTTGAGGACTGTTGTGGCAGTGAAGTTCAGGTCCCTACTGAGTATTATGGCTACACCACGGGCTTTCCCTGAGCCTCCTGCGACCCACTGTTGACTAAAGCGGGGGTCGCTCAGGAGTTTGCTGCCTTTGGGTGGATTGTGTATTTCTTGTAGGAAGGTGATGTGTGGTTTCATGGTGTTTATGTATGAGGTGATGCGTTTTCTTTTGATGGGGTTTCCCAGCCCCCTCACGTTTAATGTAATTGCTTTTAGGTTAGCCATTTTGTTTATCTATTATGTGGGGCGATTCCCTGCCAACCCGTTCGGGTTGTCTTGTGTCTCTCTCTTCGTGTTGTTTAAAGAACCAGTGGGGTTGCGCTGACCTAGGGTGTGGTGGGTGGGGGGCTAGTAGGATTAGAGTGAGATTTGGGTTAAAGAGTAGGGGGTAAGTTGTAGGGAGTTTCCTATATGTAGTCATATAGGTGTTTGTTTGGGGTATTTTGGGCCATCTGGCATTTAGCCAGTTGGTCCTAGGTCTCAGCTGGTGTGGAAGGCCATGTTCAAGGACAGGCCATCCCCCCTGTTGTCTGCGATAGGGGGTGATCAGCGAGACAGTGTGAAGTGACTTTGTAACGTCGCTGTCAGGTATAAGGTTTGTAAGCAGTGTTGCCAGTATTATGAGCAACATTGTTGGTGTGGGGATGTGGGTGCTGGTACGCTCTGGTGCCACCATAGTGCTGGTTGGGTATCAGATTTTAGCCTGATTGTGGGTTGTGTTATTAAGGTTGGAGTTGTTTTTCCTTAGTATGGAGTATGAGGATGTTGAAGGTGTGGGTGATGGGGAATGTGGTTGAGGTCGTCTGGACTGGTGTTGGGGTGGGGATTTCTGTGGGGGTGCGGGGCTGGGGGGGATGTTGATGGTGTTAACTAAATCTATGTTTTGGGGGGGAGGGGAAAAAAAGGGGGGGAATCACCAGTCCTTCAGTTTGTGGGTTTTTCCTGGTTGCTTCTTTCAGCCGGGGTTGTTGTTGTTGTAGGGTTGTCCATCTGCGATGAGTTGGTTTGGTTGGTCTTGGTCTGGTTTCTTGTGTCGTATGGCCGGCGGGACGGTTCTGAGCATGATGCTTGCCTGTATTGGTTTGCGTTGTTGCGCCGCTTCTGTTGTATCTTTTGTATCTTTTTCTTCTGTACCGTTGTCCAGTTGTTTGCTGTTGTTTCCTCGTGGTTGGGGCTGTCACTTGGTGGGTTTGTCGGTTTCCATTCCGGCGGGAGGTCGAGTTCAAGGTTCTTTAGTAGTTGCAGGGCCTCAGGTATGTTGGTAGCCATGTGTTGTGTTGTGTTCGTTGTTACAATGAGGCGGAAGGGGAAGCCCCATCGGTATTTGATCCCTGCTTGTTGGAGACGCTGGGTGCATGGGCGCAGGCTTTTCCTCCGGTTTAGGGTATCCTGGGATAAGTCCTGTAAGGCCAGGATGGGGGTTTCTCCGTATCGAAGGTTGGTTAAGTTTCTGATGTTGTTCCATACCTCTTCCTTCTTTTGGTAGCGTGTGAAGCATACAATGATGTCTCTCGGGGGGGCGCTGGGTTTTGGCATAGGTTTTAGGGCTCTGTGAGCCCTCTCCAAGTCATCTGCCTCAAGTTTCAGGCTTGGGATTGTGTTTTTCAGCCAGCGTATAATTAGGTCTGCTGGGCTTTCCTCCTCTGTTTTTTCAGGAAAGTTGCGGAAGCGGATGTTACAACGTCTATTGCGGTCTTCAAGGTCGGCTTGCTTAATTTTCATCTCGTTGTGTTCTGCTTCCATTTGGTTTACCAGTTCGTCCAGTTTCTTGTTCACACGTGCATTCTCCTCCCGGTATTGTTCTATTATTCTTTCTTGCATTTGGTTCTTGTTCTCTAGAGCTTCCACTTTGGAGGTTAGATTGTTGATTAGTACCTGCATGGGAGCCATTGTGGCCTTCAGTGTTTCTTCTAATCGTGCTTCCATTTCCCTCAGATCTCGTTTCGTTATTGGGTGGTCATCATCTTGAAGGGGAGTTACCATCTTAGCATTGTTTGCCATCTCCCTGGTTGGTGTCATCTCGGTCTCCCTGATGGTTTTGGTTTGAGGTTGGCTTGGCATCCTCTTGGGGTTGGGCGTGTGATGGTTAGGAGTTGTGGCAGTGGTGATTCCTGGGTATTGTTGGGTTGCTGAGCTGATCAGGCTTTGTTGGCTGGTGGCTTTTACAGAGCGTTTGGATTAGGTGGTCATTTGTGTCACTTCTAGCCTGTGTTTTAAGAACTTCTCTAGGGCTTCTGTAGATGCCTCAGCGGTGCCGCCGAGGCGGGGGGGGGGCAGGTAAGCAGAGATGGGTAGACTCTCCTCTGCTTTCCCGTCGGCAGAGATGGGGGCAGCAACGGTAAATTTGGGGCTCCTTTTTCTTTCTTTCTTTTCCTTCCTCTCTCTCCCTTTCTTTCTCCCTCTTTGCGTTAGCTCCACTGTCCTCCTGGTTTTGGAGCTCCTCTCGGCTGTTGGGGGGGGGTCGGGTGCCTTTCCGGCTCAATCAAGGTCGTGGGGGGGGTGTTTTGGCTCCTTTGATAGATGCCCGGGCACCCCCAATTCCTCTCCGTTGGCGTGGCTGGCAGCAGCAGTCCTGGGGGGTCCGGGAATCGGTCGCCAGAGCCTTTTATTCTGGCTGGCTTCAGGAGCTCTTTTCTTCTGCTGCTGCCGCCATGCTGCCTCGCCGGAAGTCCCGTTCAGCATGACTTCTGCTGGAAAGAGAGAGAGAGGGAGAACAGGATGCTGGACTAGATGGGCCATTGGCCTGATCCAGCAGCCCATCTTATGTTCTTACTACTTTTCTTCTCCTGCTTTTTCTGTGTTGACAGGAACTCATTGCTTTAGGCATATGCAATTCTGCAGGATCGTTTTTCCAGACCTTTGCTATAACTTGCTCAATGTCCCGGAGTCTTGTCCAGGAGGGCACTGGGGGAAAGACTCAGGTATGTGTATTTAGGTTTCACTTGTCCTTCCTGCAGGGCAGCGTTCGAAAGTCCCATTGTTCTTGGCTTGTTTTGCGACAGGGAATTTCATGAATGCAAGCAGTTTCTGAGCTCTGGGTGCAGTACTGCACCTAAGATTTCAGATTAAAATTTCCAATTTCTGGAAGGAAAGGAGGACCTTTTTCTGCCTCCCCACTTCCAGCCACTCTCTGAAGACTGGAGAAGGGACCCTCGTAAGAATATTAGGGGGACAGGCAGGGGAAGTATGGCTTGGTTTTTTGCAGTCTTCAGATGAGGACCAGACCATGTAAAAAATGAACATAAGATTTTAACTGCAGCTCATTTTCAGCATTGTATTCTTGTTATAAAAAAGCATACCCAGACACTTTGTTGCGGCACCCGTAACCTAGGTTTAAGGTGCCATTTGGCTCCTAGCTTTCATATCTCAGTTTCAAACACCACTACAGGGACGTGATGATGATTATTATTCTGATGGTGATGATTAGAATCAGATCTCAGGGTGGTTCACAACATTACAATATAAAAACCACAAAATACATAATAAAATCAAACCAATAATCTCCCCTCCCACAACACATTAAAAAGGTTGTCAATCAGCCAAAGGCCTGGTTGAAGAGGAACGTTTTTGCCTGCCAACTAAAGGTGTTTAATGAAGGCGCCAGCTGCGCCTCCCTGGGCAGAGCATTCCACAAACAGGGAACCACTGCAGACGATACCTGTTCTCATGTTGCCACCCTCTGGACTTCACGTGGAGAAGGTGCACAAAGAAGGGCCACACAGGATGATCTCAGGGTCCAGGTCAGCTTGTATGGAGAGAGGTGGTCCTTGAGTTATTGTGGTCCTGAGCTGTTTAAGGCTTTATAGATCAAAACCAGCACTTTGAATTGGGCCTGGAAACTACCGGTAATTGGTAGTCAGTGCAGTTGGGCCAAGATTGGTGTAATATGCTGAAACTGTCTTGCTCCGGTGAGCAACCTAGCTGCCAAATTCTGCACTAGCTGAAGTTTCTGAACCATCTTCAGAGGTAACACGTTGCAGTAATCTAACTTAGAGGTTACTAGAGCATAGACAGCAGTAGTTAGACTGTCCCTGTCCAGATAGGATATCAGGGTCATATACCTTGGACTTTCCCATTTTATCCTCACTTTTGGGGGGCAGCTTAGGCTAAATAAGTGGAATTACCCCAAGGCCATCTAGTGAGCAGGGATCTGTATCTATATCTTCCTGCCTCCCCCAATTCTGTCCAAGTCCACATACTCCGTATTTGCTACTCTGTTTGCAACATGTGATGTATGTAAATTTAGTTGATGCCACTTCTTCAAAAGTGTTTCTGTGTCCTTTCGCCCCCAGGTTGCTGGTACTCTGTCCTCAATCATGGTTTTCCTGGTCATTGTTGCCATTGGTTATCTGTTTGAACCACTGCCACAGGTAAGAGTCTCTTATATATATATGTTTTCATTCCAGTCTAAATTGGTACATAAGCAGCAGTAAAGCTGCTTTTGTTAAAGGATTGCACAATCTGTAATGTTTAGAGCTGTAAGGAGATAGAATGTTCTGTGCTGCAACAATAAGCTTAAAAATTGGTTCAATTGCAGGGTAATTTAATGGCATTGGTGATTACTGTGCACCAGCTTTTTCTAATGTCCTTCCTTAATATCTGCAATTGGAGGGAAGGCTTTCTAGTCTGAATGCCTGTGTGAGTCTCATTTGGCTCTGGGTAACGAACAGCAGCTCTTTTTATTTGTCCTGTATTTGGTCTCCACACCTGTAAGCATGCAAGAAACTAAATATTCTTTAGCAATGAAGACTTGAGCTTTGTAATTCTAATCCAGCACTTTATACGTGTTACTTTGTCACCTTTTATACTTTCAACCATTGATTCAGGAATAGTGGGACAGAACTATTAGCCAATGATTAGCAGGAACTTCATTGTTTGGGTCCTCAGGTTATACAAGTTGCAAGTGAGAAGTCGTTGTTCAATCCACTGGATGCATGCCGATGTGCTGACACATTTATCTTGAACTTAATAGTTCTAGGCTGTTGAGATATTATTTTAGCCAAACAAAAGTATCAGTTTCCTAAAGATCACCGGTTCTCTTTCCTAAGATGAAGATAAGAAACATGTAGGTCCCAAATAAAGCTTAAGAGATTTTATTGCTGACAGGCCAGGCCATTGCCCTGTTCACTTAACTGGAACTAAATAAGGCAGGGAGTGACATGATTGGGAAGTGACAGTTTCGCAGTAGCTAAGTAAGAGTCCATTTGCTTGGTTAGCTGGAGTGTAAGAAGAGCACTTAGCGCAAGCCATAAAAGGTTTGTCAGAGGACTTGAAGATTAGCATTTTATTAAAAACAAATATAAGGATTACTTTGTATGCTTTCCTGGGATCTGCGCTAACCGTAAAAGGCTAAAGGAGAAATCCCAGTTAGAAACTGGTGCAGGCCAAAGCATACAGAAAATAATCTTAGTAACCTATTATTCTAATAAAACACTGGAATCTCCATTTCGGACCCTAAAATATAATGAGGCAACAGATTGTTTCTTCTCTTTTCAGAACAACAACTTGTGTGTGGAGGTAGCTCAACTGCCCAAGGAAAGGGGGGCAGAAAGAAAAAAGCTCCATAACTTTCACTTGTATATTACAGGGCTTATAAAGCATGCAAATGATGTAGTGTGAGGGTGGGGCAACAATAGTTCCCATCATCCTCTATCAAATAACCCTTCTTGCTGGAGTGGTTGCATTACAACCACATCTGGAGGGCTCCCATCCTTGCTGTAGTGGGCATGCCTATTTTAAGTTCCCCCAATTTCTTTGGGAGAGAATGCTCCTCCTCTCTGCTGTGAAATCAGTTTTTTGACGTGTTTAACTTCTACTGAATGACGTTAACTAATGTCATGGATGCTTTAGCTGAGATTCCTGCATTGCAGGGGTTGGACTAGATGACTCTTGTAGTCCCTTCTGACTCTATAATTCTATGATTCTACAAATTGTACCCTTACAAGGGAAACACATTGATTTTGATATGGGCCATCCAGGAAGGTTGCAGCTATAGGCACTTTAAACAAAACCCTGCTGATGTTATCATCAAGGAATCTCATTTGGTTTCTGATGAAATATATGTGCAGATAAGCAAAAGATCAAAAATGCCATGTGACTGCATGGCTGTTTACACTTGCTAAACAAACATTTAAAAAAAATATTCTTGTGTATGTAAATAGATCTCCTGCATAGAACTTGCTAGTTATATACACTTTGGAATGCTTTTTTTTTTTTAAGCTGCAACACGGTTTTAAAATAAAAATAAGAAAACCAAACCCTTTTCAAAATATGTTCCTAGGCTGTGCTTGCAGCAATTGTAATGGTCAATCTTAAAGGCATGTTCAAACAGTTTCAAGATATCACTCGCTTCTGGAGGACCAGCAAGATTGAACTGGTGAGTGACCTTGATTCTGATCAAAGTGCATGTAGAATGTTTCTGATATGGTAATCCAGTGGTCCACCTGCAGTGTTGTGTCGCACAGAAATAGTTGCATTGTGAGAGTCAAATGATGCAAGAAGAACAAAGCTCTAGGGCCCAAAACTAGGAACATAAAGAGATAGTGCAGGAGAGGGTATTGAAATGTGCTTAAGATTTCAATTCAGGGTCTCATCTGCCAGTGAAACCCTTCCCTGCTTAGAAATGCAAAGCCAGCACAGTGGATACATTGGGTTATATCCACCTAATTTCTATTTAGAGTAGACCCAACAAAATTAATGAGCCCAAGTTAGCCATGGCCGTTTATTTCAGTGGGTCTACCCTGAGTTTGACTAGCAGTGTCCTTTCCTCACAGAGGTAGGAAAGGCATGGCCCTTGCCTATGCAGGAGCAAAACTCAAGCTTGACTCCTGGCAAACCCTGGGTTCTCTTGCCCTAATCTGCATTGATAAGCTATCACTAAGAACTGCTTAGAGCCCTATTTCTGTTTAGAGAGAGAGAGTGTGTGTGTGTGTGTGTGTGTGTAGATAACCACTTTTATTTCACGATATTTATATAAGTAGGTAAATCCTTTTCTGGGAATTAAAGTTTTTTCTCAGTACACCACCTGCTTATTTTATAAGAACAAATAGGGTGTGCAATCCATTTCATCAATGAGGCTTCAAAATACAGTGGTGCCTCGCAAGACGAAAAGAATCCGTTCCGCGAGTCTCTTCGTCTAGCGGTTTTTTCGTCTTGCGAAGCAACCCTATTAGTGGCTAAGCGGATTAGCGGTTTAGCGGCTTAGCAGCTATTAAAGGCTTAGCGGCTAAGCTGCTAAAAGGCTATTAGCGGCTTAGAAAAAGGGGGGGGAAGCAGGGAAAAATCGCAAGACTAGCAAGACATTTCGTCTTGCGAAGCAAGCCCATAGGGAAAATCGTCTTGCGAAGCAACTCAGAAACGGAAAACCCTTTCGTCTAGCGGGTTTTCCGTCTTGCGAGGCATTCGTCTTGCGGGGCACCACTGTAAGGCCTTATTTACCTACACATTTTTAAAAATCCATGTTAATGTGTGTACTTGGTTTGCCTTACTATATTAGGCCTATCACTAGTTTTGAGTGTACTAGAAACAGTTCAGACCTGTTTCCTTCCCACAATTTCCTCTCCCCACCCCATTCCCGCCCGCAAGTAAAATGTGAGTGTGAAACATGGTTAGCCTTTTCTTGAAAGTGGTCTTGAGTGTTTGTAATTGACTCACCAGGCTTTTATTTGAACCTGCTGGAAAGTAGAAACCATATATTACTGATGAGGTGTTTGTTTGTTTGTTTGTTTGTTTGTTTGTTTGTTTGTTTTTGTTTAGGCTATCTGGATTGTAGCATTTCTGTCCTCAGTTTTTCTGGGGCTCGACTACGGTTTGCTCACTTCTATAACTTTTGCAATGATTACCATCGTGTACAGAACACAAAGGTGAGGCTCACATTAAACATTTATTCTCTCAAATCGAAGCTATTGGTGGTGGGAGTAAAGAGGGCCAGTCTCCTTCTCCATGCTCAACCAACACAGTGTAGTTTGCTGAGCTAGCTCATCCTCCCTACAATGGAAGGTGACGTCATTCATCAAAATGGTTGATTAGGGTACCATTTTGGTACCATTCTGCTTGCCGGCAGTTTAAGAGACCTTCTTGCACCTCTTCCAACCCAATCAATCCCTCCCAGTGCAGCTGGAAGAATATCTCCGGGAAGAGTTCCTTGGAAAAGCAAATATTTGCGCAGTAGTATAAACGGCATCTGAATCTAAAATAATATTGTAAAACCTAAACTAAATAAAAGTAGTGAAGAGCCATAGCTCAGTGGTAGGACATCTGCTTCGCATGCAGAAGGTCTTAGAGCTGGGGATGTTCCTAGTCTAAAACCCTGGAGAGTCACTGCCCGTCAGTGTAGTCAGTCGTAAGCTAGATGGACCAATTGTCTTACTCAGTATGATGCAGTATCCTATGCTGCTAAAGGTAACTCGGCATCGGCATCATCTGTTCTATCAAATTTCTCTAGATTGCTTTAAAAAACACAGGCCCAGCACTCAGTTTTCAACCCATTTTATGCCTGGTCACGTATATTATCAAGAACTGGAATTTCTGCTGATGCCTCTCTGTTCTGGCCTTTGATCAAGGCATTGCGTCAGAAGAAACCTGTTGGGTTACTTTTGACTTCAGATCTGATCTTAAGTCCTAAAAAGGAGGAGAGCATTTACAGCTCAAGCAGCCAATAAATGGCAAGTTGTAACTTCTCTTTAGTGAGTCACACCCAAGAAACTACAAGCAATACATTGTATAACAATATCCAGGATCTACGGAAGGGGTGGGGAGGCAGCAAAACTGTCTAAGCAGACCTTATTTGCCACTGACGTAATTTCCCAAATCTGATCCTCAAACAGAAAGCAGGTTTGAAGTGTAGGAAGTGTCTATATGATTCCATGCACGTTGAAATAGGGTCCAAAATATGCTGAAGTCGAAGTGCTGTTCTCCCTTCACACCCCTCTTCAATTTTATTTCATAATATTTAATATACTGCTTGACTGTAAAACAAGAAACCTCAAAATAGTTTTCCTCTCACTGTTTCTGGATAATGGGCACCAGGACTTTACCAAAGAGGTAAAGACATTAGTGGGAGCCTCTAACAGAGATTGCTTTTATAGCCTCTTAATACAGAGACTCTTTCTCTACAGTCCACAATACAGAATCCTCGGCCAGATTCCCGGTACAGACATTTACTGTGATATAGAAGAGTATGAAGAGGTAAGAGGGTGCTAAATCTCTTTATACCCCTTAGGAAGGAAGGAAAGTGCTCTCTTTGATTTAAGATGGGAGGGGAGCAGTAACAAAGCCTTGGTTGGGAGTTGAATCTGAATCCTGGAGGACCCCATACTGAACATTAAGATCCATTCCTCCCAGTGCAAGCCCACCACATGGGGAGATGAGAGCAGGAATGCCAAATGGTTCTTTGGGAACTAGCAGCTGGGACATTTCTGGAGGGAGAAATAACCAGAGCCATGAGGCATGTTCAGAGATGAGACGGGAATGACTGTATATTTGGTAGCAATATAAACAAGTTGAGGAAGACATGCTTTCTTTATTAAAAGAATCTCTTCTTTTCTTAGGTGAAAGAATGCCCTGGAATCAAAATATTCCAGGCAAATGCATCGCTCTATTTTGCTAATAGTGATTTATATATCAATGCACTGAAGAAAAAGGTGAGGAACAGCAATTCATTTCTACTCTCTATCCTATTGAAAAATGCTAAACACTGCCATTTCACACTGCAGGGAATTACATATTTGACTACTCCCCTGTCTAAAAAGGAAAAATAAATCTATGTACAGACAATACTTGGATTCTAGACCAATGTAATTTCAATATGCTGGCTTTGTACAGAAAGGGTGGTGTTTGTTTCTTAGACATGGGAACACTGATTCCGTTCAACCATTCTGGTTTTTCACCCGTAGTCTGAGAAGGTATAACCCACCAACAGAGTTATGTGAGTTTTCTGATGAAGTGTTTCATCTCTAAGCCACCCATGTCACATCTGGGTGTGTTAGGAAAGCCTTCTGTCTCAGCCAGCCTTGAGCTAAGAATAGTTGGATTAGTGCTTGAAGCATTTGAACATAGCTCCATTCTCAAGCATGAATTTGTGTCTTGTTTGATTCTTACCCCACACATACACAGAATCTCATCTGACACACTTAATTCTCTTACACCCCAAATCAGGTGGGGTGGTGATATTGGAAGCTCCAGGAATGTTACTGTAATAGGTGGTGCTTGTTAAACCAAAGAAAAGCTCTGTTTTCTAGTATTCCCAGCCCCCCTTTTCTCTGTCCTAAATAGCAGTTCCATAAAAAGAGTCTTTCCATTGTAAATTCACCAATTTGGCAAGTGAATTAATTTACTTCTTTAATAGCTGCTGAAAGGTGACCTTTTAAAAGGCAAACAAAGAGTCCTGCAGCACCTTAAGGGTTATGAATGTTGTTATGGCAAAAACACATGGCTTGGTTACCACTTTACAAAGATGATCTTCTCTGGGGTTTTTTTTTGCCTTGTTTCTGCTATAGACTGGTGTTGATCCCTGTGCAGTCTTGGCAGCAAGGAAGAAAGCCCAGAAAAGGCACAGAAAGGAACTGAAGCACCTTCAATGAACAAAAGAAAACAGCAGTCCTGAAAGTGGTAAGCCTTGCAAGTGTTTCCTGGCACAGGCTCTGACTCCTCCTTAGCAGTGATTTAATAAATTGAGAACCAGCTTTCTCTTCTTGCAAAGCATTAATTTCCCCCTCCTGCAGCTAACTGAAATGTCTGCTGTCTTTGCCTAATGTTAGTTTGGTCTCCAGTTTGCCTGGATCTGAAATAACGGTTTGTACAGAAACCTGGTTAGTATTAACCATGGTTGAGATCTATGTTGGCATTTTACTTAATCGGTGGGAAGGAAGGAAATTCATTTAAGAGAAGGGTCAGATGAAGGAGTATCATGTTCTTGAGGCTGGTGCTATTTTTGAGCTATGCATAGGCTATGTTTTGATAGTTGGCTACCCTACCCTTGTCCAGTACTATGCCTGATTTTTACAAGGGTGTCAGTGCAATAGGAACATAAAGGTGTGTGTTTAGTGCAGCTGAGGTCATTTGATTGACAATTTTGCATTTCCTTTATGAGGGAGGGAATACTCAGGAATCAAATGGGTTTGTTTCAAGTCCATTACGACATGCAGCATGTGAGCAGCAGTTTGCCTTAATAGAATCCCTGTTAAATACAAACATTGGGATTTGGGGAGAGTGCTGGTGACATGTGATATGAATAGGGAGCAAGATGTGGATCAAAACTAGCTGTTACTTTTGTTGCCTGACCACACTCCCCCCTTGTGGTGCAGAATGAAACTGCTGCACCGAGAGTTGCCATCATTGTTCCTCCTGCTGATCTCACAAAAGAAGCTTTTACTGTTCCAGAGAGGCACACAAAAACAAAGAATGACTGGACAATTATGTTTTAGATTCAGACTTGTTTTAGAATGAGGATGTCCGAAGGGCAGATTCACACACCCACTTAACCACACTGACCCTATCTCCCTCCAAAGCCTCTCCTTTTAAACTCTCCCTCCTGGAACCACAGCCAATCAGAGGCTGCCATTCTGTAACCATTTGCTAGTAGGAGAAAAAAGTAAAAAGAAAACACTTGTGGAACCAACTTTTCCATCACAACATGTGTCCTTATATAGTAACGCTGATACTGTCCTTTGATATTTCCTAATTTGTATGTATAACAATTGAGCTCTCTCTAGATTATGAATTATTGTACATAGGAGTCACCCTTTACATTCATTTACACAGAGAACAAGTGTGCATTGTGGAACTGTTGTTGTTGTTTATGCTTATGAGTTAATGATGACATCCCAGTGCTGATTGGTAGGAACTATTGTATTGAAAGAAAGCAAAACCTATACTCTAAGTCTGGTATTTTATTTCATCTTAGTTGGAAAGACAAACTCACAGAGAACAGTGTGAAACATGAAGTAATGGAATGGACTGAAACTGCCCGCCCAACGGAAAGTTCTTTGCAACTACACAGGACTCCTCTCCCATGAGCCTCCGTAGCCGCCTTTATGGAGCCAGTGGACCCAACCATTCACCACAATCACTTTTGGATTTTCACCTGTTGAATTCGTGGATCTCAGTTGGAAGTCAAGCCCTAACTTCAGTACGTGGCATCTTATCTCATTGCCATATCCTACACTTAATACCTTGCTACCAGAATACCTTTTGCTGCTTTAAGGCACACATCAAAGACAAAGTTTCATGCATCCATGTACCAAGTAAAGGGAGCTCTCTTGCACAAGACCGTGCACAGCTCACGTCCATTTCAAAGAGGCTTGCACAGAAGAGCTTCCTGCTGTCTTAGGCCTCAAAACAGGGTGGGAGGATTTGTGGCCTTCCAAGTGTCACTGGTCAGCCAGTAATCAAATATGATGGGAGTCGCAGTCCAGCAAAATCTGGGGGGCCACAGGCTCCCTAGCTATTTAGGCTGCAATCCTATAGACACTTAACCTGAGATTAAGTCCCATTCAATTTGAAAGGACTTAACTTCAGCATAGGCATGCAAAGGATTGCACTTCTAAGCACCGTACTCCTTGCCTCCCAATTTCTCCCTTGGTATTTCTAGAATAACTGCTCAATTTTAAAAGGGCATGTGTATGTTATGACGATGACTTTTAAAAATACAAATATATTAACTGCAAATTAATTTCTGCCACTGTTGCAGAATCATAAAAGAATACGAAGAAATAGGAGTTTCAGTGTATATCAGCGGCTGCAATGGTAAGCCTGTTTGACAGTTGGGAATCATGGACTTGCTGTGGTCACTTTTGACCCCCCCCTCCCCCACCCCCACATCTAGCCTTGCATCATCTAATCTAACTGGCAGCAGCTCTCTAAGGCCTGAGGCAAATATTGGTCTACTGCCTGATTGTACATAGCAAAGATGCTAGAAACATGGTGTGTTAGTGATTTGTGGCTTCCTGATCAACCCCATATCATACAAGCTATGCCTGTCTCTCCTTTCTGCCTGAAGTGCAGATGAAGTGACTGTAACACCAGCAAATTCAGCTAAAGAACAGGAGAAAGTGCTAATGTAAATCCCAGCAACCTGCAACTGTTGAAGATAAACCCAAGGAATGAGATACTTGGTCCTTACCTGTGTAACTGTGGGCATTTTTGAAGAAAGAGGAGAGGATCTTGTTAGTTGGTTAACACACTAGTTACTGTTAAAAGAACAGCCTGGAGGCTGTATGGAGCCCTGTGACTTTTGATCCACTTTTATCCAGCTGGTTTTTAAACTCAGCGGTGCCCTCAGTGTGCCCAAAAGTGCTCTCTGGCTTGCAGTCTTTCTCTGAAGTTTTTCACCACACTATGGGTAATGCTGCATCCAATTTGTATGCATGTTGGATTACTACTTGAACTTTTCTGTAAGAGTGCTCAAATTCAGTATTCAAAATAAGTTCAGGCATTTTGCACACATTTGTTTTGCTGCAGACTCTCAAGGGTGCTTGAATGGACGCACAAACACCTCTTCACAGCCATGGGAGTTAGAAATGGTGTCTTAAAATATCACAATATTTGGGGCCACGTCCAGTACTGCAACACCAATGAAGCCACCGACTTCAGGGCATGGAGCAAAGCTTCCTCTTCCTATTCCTCTCTTGCCTCCTC